TACTGATCTGGCTCCAGATGTGGTGGAGGTTATTTTTCACTCTCAATATAATATAGGTGCAAACTATATGGATAGAATTCATTTCAGGCTGTGCGTCAAGAATAAGGTCAGTGATATTCTTTATTTATCTTTGTGTGAACAAAGTTTAGGATCCCAAATAATCATGAATGTGTCCCACTGAAGGCTTTTTCATTTCTCGCACATAGGGACAGTTATGGATGTAGTTGTTGCGATTGTACTACTTTTCTCAACCCCAGGAGTCTGCTTTGAGGACTTTGTCCCATACATATGCAGTAGGTTGCATCGATCTAAATAGTCCATGCCCTCACACTACAGCTGAGCATGCACACTATTGCCCTTGAGTGTGGTCGCCACCTGAACACAAATTATGTGCTGTACATTAATGTTCACAGACCGGTACATGCTTACTCTCCTGGACTATATCATGCAGAGCCTAATAGGCCCTGGCATACCCGCAGATCTGGAAAGTGTCAAGGCCAACTCAGGTTTGTTTGGGTTTTTTTCAGCCTTGCCTACAAGGGTACCTGATGTAAATTTTGTCATCTAGCCAAGTCTGCAACAAATGAAGTGCTACACTGCTGACTTTTGCTGCAATTACGTCCTACTGTGAGGTTTTTACATAGGGAATCTAATCTGTTGTTTTTATTATACATAAGAGCAAATACATTACTGTTCAACAAAAAGTAATGCACTTACTGTTCTTGTTCCTATCATTTCTATATCATTTGGCCATTTTTGTGATACCACACAGGGGTTTACTTACTTCTTTATTTATTTTTTTTAAAGTTATTTTTTTGGTCTTTTTGCCTTTATTGGATAGGACAGTCGAGAGACAGGAAAGGGAGGGAAAGGAATGGTGGAAGGACTTGCAGGAAAGGGCCATGATCGGGCCTTGAACACACGGGCGCTGCGTCAGGGACCATAGCCCCTGAACATGGGTCGCCAGCTCAACCAGTTAAGCTATCGTGGCACTCACTTCTGTTGTATACTGTACACTTTAACAGTTCATCTGCTCATAAGACAGATTTTGAGCAGGACATGCCAACAGCACAGTATGACACTGGAAAATGGCAGCCATTGCTATCAACTTGGGGTTCTTTGGTGCACAGGCTCAAGGACATACTGTACGTTCTCTGTGCAGATGACAATCACAGAGAATACTGAGAAATACCAGAGAAAACTGCCCTCACCAGCCTCACCAGTAAAGAAAACAAGAGACAATACACTGTAGATGAGACCAATATACTGCATATACAGTTAAAACCAGACGTTTACATACACTGTATAATAAGACATAAAACGTTATTTTTTTCTCACTATCTGACATCAACTGTGACTAAAGTTTTCTTGTTTTAGGTCAGTTAGGATGACAAAAATGATTTCTATTTGCTGAACACCAGAATAATGAGAGAGAGAATTTTTTAGAGGATTATTTTTACTACTTTCTTCAAAGTCAGAAGTTCATATACACGAAAATTACGATGCCTTCAAACTATTTGGGAAAGCCCAAGAGCAAGATCTCACCTCTTGATGTATCAGTGATCATGAGAAAGGTGGGGGATCAGTCCAGAACTACACGGGAGGACCTGGTCAATGACCTGAAGACAGCTGGGACCACAGTCTCAAAGGTTACCATCAGTAACACACTACGCCATCACGGATTAAAATCCTGCAGGTCCCCCTGCTCAAGCCAGCACACATCCAGGCCCGTCTTAAGTTTGCCAATGACCATCTGGATGATCCAGAGGAGACATGGGAGAATGTCATGTGGTCAGATGAAACCAAAATAGAGCTTTTTAGTATAAACTCCACTCGCCATGTTTGGAGGAAGAAGAAGGATGAGTACAACCCCAAGAACACCATCCCAACAGTGAGGCATGGGGGTGGAAACATCGTACTTTGGGGTGCTTTTCCGCAAAGGGGACAGGGCGACTGCACCATATTGAGGGGAGGATGGATGGGACCATGTATCACAAGCTTTTGGGCAACAACCTCCTTCCCTCAGTAAGAGCGAGATGGGTCGTGGCTGGCTCTTCCAGCATGACAATGACCTGAAACACACAGCCAGGGCAACTAAGGAGTGCTCCGTAAGAAGCACTTCAAGGTCCTAGAGTGGCCTAGCCAGTCTCCAGACCTGAACCCAACAGAAAATCTTTGGAGGGAGCTGAAACTCCATGTTGCCCAGCAACAGCCCCAAAACCTGAAGGATGTGGAGAAGATCTGTATGGCAGAGTGGGCCCCAATCCCTGGTGCAGTGCGTGCAAACCTGGTCAAGAACGACAGGAAACATCTGACCTCTGTAATTGCAAACAAAGGTTTCTGTACCAAATATTAAGTTCTGTTATTCTCTTGTATCAAATACTTATTTCATGCAATAAAATGGAAATCAGTTATTTAAAAATCAAGACCTTCATTTTTGGAGACATGTCCTGTGGTCTGATGAATTGCTAGGTAAAGATAATGACAGAGCAGACTAATGAATGTGTAAGCAGTAAAAGAATACAAATGAGAATGTTTATATTCATAGACTTTATAAGCATTGTGCTAGAGAAATGGACGCATATGGTCAATATACTGCAGAGGCTATAACGGATCGGGGTAGAGTTTACAGTAAAGAGAATAAACTTTATGGGAAACTCTTCTGTCCCTGTCAGGATCCTCTAGAGATGTTCTGTATTTCCAGTGATCCAATTTGATGCTAGACAAGCTGTTATTGGGTTTGATTTAAATCACTATGATAACTAGTTTCTCATTATATCAAATGATCTGTGTTGCCCAAGTCCACAAAACACGAGGACTGGATGGTAAAACTCCCATGACAACCTGGGCTCTGACTTACTTGCATTAAATGCTATATTTGTGACTTTTGAAAAAAGCCAACTGCCTGCCTTTTATCCATCCATCCATTATCTATACATCACTTAATCCTCACTAGCGTCGCGGGGGGGCTGGAGCTTATCTCAACTGACTGAGGGCAAAGGCAGGGGACACCCTGGACAGGTCGCCAGTCTGTCCAGATGCCTGCCTATTTTATTCAAGAAAAAAAAAAGCATAATATTGAAAATAAATAAAAGGTAAAATAAAAAAAAAAACATGTAATTGTGTGCAATAGAGTGCAACAGTGTTTTTGTCGAGCATATTTTAACATACACTCGTGATAAAGCAGATCCCATGGAAATTGCTGGCTTTTTTACATTTTTTAACTCTGTGATACTCTGCTAACAGATGAACATAGAAAGTCCACAAGCAAAATCATCTTCCATCATTTATTCAACAAAAGTATCAACAGATAATAATAATATCTTCTCATCTGTATTTTACATAATTGTCCACCCATATCTTTTTACATGTACTGCTGTCAGGTAAATCTCCAGCTCCTTAGCCCCACCTGTTGTATGTGTAGACATCATACTGTACATCCAAATGTAACTGAAAAGTCCTTAATGTTAGTATTTGGTTAAGTTAGATAGCTTTATAAACTCCCCAGTTGAAGAACTCATTTTCTACTAATTCGACTCAACAGCAACACAAATAATATAGAAATTACAACAACAAACAAGACAGGAAGAAGATGGCACATGTCATGTACTAACTAGCAGAACAACAATTTATTGCCAGACACATTCCAAAGCACCACACAGAGAATCCAGAGAACCTCTCTCACAGCTGGGATTTGGTAAAAGACAATTTGAGAAGACAGCTAACCAAGACTTTCATCCAAATAGAATACATGCATATTGGATGTTTACTACAGAATGACAAAACACAACTTTTCTGATATTCCAAAGAACAAGCAATAGTCACAGACTGTCAATTCTGAAGATAACCTCAACTCTTTAAAAGAGGAGCTTGCGTTCTTTACTGTGACCTCCTGACCTTCTTCTCCTCCCAACACCCAGACTGTTCTACAGAAGAATGAACCTGGTTGCAAAACCTAAAATTAAGGAACACTAACATCACTGGAGTGATGTCCCCAAAATCTGGAATCAATAATTCAGGTCATCAGGACCAGTGTTGCCACAAAAGGCATAGAGAGACTTTTGTCTCTCTTCTCTTTGGATGGGATATAGTGAAGTGTAAACAAAAGGAAGCAAGGGGAAAAACAAATACATAGACTTGTCATTAATCATTAACAAGTCTACTGCCAATATTAATAATAATAAGAAATCTATTGCCAATAATACTAACAATAACAATTGTATTGTGTAATTACAACAACAACAACAAATAAATAAATAAATAAATAAGTAATAAAAAAGGGTGGGGCTATTCTTAATGATGACTGTTATGATGGTGATAGTAATACTAATAATGATAGTAAAAATAATAATAATGTTGATAGCAATAACAACCATAATAACGATGATGACGAGGATGACAACGATGATAATAATAAATAGATAATAATAAATAAATAAACAAATAAATAGCCGATTAGCATCCAGGCATGAGACACTCCAACTCCGCCCGTCCACCCCAACACCCCCCAGTCATCCCCACCATCCCCATCATCATCATCATCTTCATCATCATCACTATCACCATGAATGAATGAATGAATGAATTATTATTGTAACAACAATAAAGGTTGCCCCAGAAATACCTGTAAAGGTACAGGCTACATTGGGGGGGGGGGGGGTGTCAGGGATGCAGCAGTGAAGAGGTTAGCCCAGGAGTGGAGACAATGCCTTGGGGATCGCCCTCAGACCATGATGGAAGAGAGCTGATCCGCTGCATTGTGACCCTTCAAAATAACCCTAGACCCTTGGGAAGGAGCCTATTTATCAGTCTCAGTCACTAGGTCTTTAACAAAAACTAGTACTACTACTGCGACTACTACTTATACTACTACTAATAATAATAATAACAATAATAACAATGGTAATGATAATGAGAAGAAGAACAAAACCCACAGGCCCTACATAATCAAATCAGCGCGAGAACAAACAAACCGTCCCATGCCCAGATGCCAATCGGTTTAATATTGATAAAAATGTCAAGACTAATAATAATACTACTTCAACTGATAATAATAATCATTATCATCATCATCATCATCATCATCATCCCGTTATCATCAATAACAGAAGCTGTCATTAGATGTAGAAAAATAAATAAAGAAATAAATAAATAAAAGGGATGGTTAAGTAAATAAAATGGAATACATGAATTAATAAATAAATGAATATATATACAATGCAAGGGGGAAAAGAAATACAGTAATAGTTGTTCATAGTTGTGATTTCTTCTTTTTTTTGGTAATAAAGAGGTTTTTTTTTTTAATTTTATTTTAGAATACATACCTTGAATGGAACGTGCATAAATGGAATGTGCGCAGCTTCAGACCCCAGGTGTCTGATTTATGTTGAAGTATTTTAAAAAATGGGTTCCAGATGTCATTGAAAACAGATGTACTATTATTGTAGATATATGTATTTTTCTCCAGTTTGATATATTCTATGAGAGGGTTGGTCCAATATTTGTATTATGAAACTGTTTTTATTTCTGTTATGTATCTTGGCATGGAGTGTTGGCTGTAGAGATATCTTTTGATAACTGTGTGAGGGAGCTTGTCTGGAACCCCGAGATGATCCTCATTTAGCACTATCATTAGGTCAAATTACTGTCATCTGTGCTGTACTTTGGTGAATGACCAAATTCTTAATGGAAATTACATGAATGATGTCATGTAAGCATGTTAGCATGCTAACTCACCATCTGGCTGCTTGCCTGGCTGTAGACTCCTAATCTGAGTGTACTGCTTTTGTTAATGCTAATCCTTATCATTTCTTATTCCTGTCACTGGAACCAGCAGTTTATATCAACTTAAAGCTCGTTAAGTTTTACATGAGAGGAAAATGCATCTCCTGTTCAAACCTGTTTTCACTGAAGTGGAAAATGTAAAAGAGAAACACATCATTAAACAAGACAATGGCCTCAGAAATGCAGGCATTCCCAGGGTGTCTCTGGTCAAATGGCTCAGGTAGTAAAGAATAGTGATGATGATGATGATGATGATGATGATGATGATGATGATGATGATGATGATGACGATGATGATGATGATGATGACGATGATGAAATTAGCAGCTGGCAATTTATGAAGGTTGCAAAAAACTTACTTGTGTACAGCAGAGCAGCGAAGGCATTAATAGCTGCCCTAAAACACAAAACAGAAGCAGTGACAGTAATTAGTGTTTCAGATATTTAAATTAACACATTCTTTACCATGAAAAGACAATACAATATGCTACTGTACCTATGCAAGCGTGTGTGTGTGTGTGTGTGTGTGTGTGTGTGTTCAGTCAGATCTATGTAGTTGCCATAGCTCCTTCAGCGTATCATCTGCTCGGCCAAGAAGGTCATTGGCTGCAATCTGCCTTCTCTCCAGGACCTCCAGTATAAGCACAACTCTGACCATGCTTATGCACATAATCTAGTGGTAGAAGAGTGAAACTACACATAGAAAATATTCAGGGGTTTTGGCCACTGGCACATTCCAGCGTGAGGTTGGAGACATATGCAGCATTACCCAGCCATCACTGAGCAGGATCAAGCCAGCGGTGTTGGATGCCATAACTCCCCTGGCCCCAGCCTACATCCAGTTCCCTTACAGCCATCACCAACGAGCCCAAATCAACCGGGGACTTAACTCCATCCCTGAATTCCCAAACATAAGTGGAACCATAGACTGCACCTACATCACAATCAAAGCATCATCACTAAACGAGCTTAATTTTGTAAATAGAAAAGGGTTTCGTTCAATCAACGTACAGATAATTTGCAATGCACATTTGTCGCTATCCAATGTTGTTGCCCAGTGACCTGGAGGAACGAACGACTCATTCATTGAGCAGAACAGCTCTGTGGATGCGTCTCCAAGCAGGAGCTGTTGAAGATGGCTCGCTTATTGGTGAGAGCTACAAAGTGTAAAAATGTTTTTGCTGGACTTGTTATTAAAACATCTCATCTATAGGTGATCAGGGTTATCCACTGGGTGAAAGTTCAGTATTGATTCGTCCTCCTCCAGTGGCAGCCATTTCTCTTTCATGGGCTGTGATGCGTTTTTTGGCACTGAGCTTAACGTCAAACCACCAATTTTGCTGGGATCTTCTCTGACCCAACAGAAATAACTGTGTTGGTTATCATGTTCCATGCAGCATTTTTTTCCCACTGCTTATCCCAACATTTCACGCACCAAGCAATATTTTCTGGTTTGCTTCAACCTCGCTGACAAGTACCTCGATTTCAGTTTCAGAAAAGTTCCTCTTTTTCTCCCTTTTTGCCACGATGATGAGGACAGGTGAGGAAAAAACAAATCTTCACTTGCTTTATAAAGAGGCGTGTTGTTGCCGTATATGGTGATTTGGAGGCATTTCTGAAGGTAAGGTGCACGAGCACGGAGGTTAAGAACAAGTGGGATTTATCAACACTGATGTGCGTATGACCCCCGTACGCACGTTTGATAAATACAGATTTTTTTTTGTACTTATGCACATTCAAACTTTCATGCGTACAGCAGAATTTAGAACTTTTTCTACGCACTGATGATAAATGAGGCCCCTGGACTCTGTGGCGTGCAGGTAAGATTGTGGCCGACCCCTCCCACCCTGGACACAAACTCTTTCAAACACTCCCCTCTGGAAGGAGGCTTCGGTCCGTCAGAACCAGAACCTCACGCCACAAGAACAGTTTCTTTCCATCTGCCACCGGCCTCATGAACGAGGCACAGGACCCCCACTGACCCCCCTGCCCCCTGTGTGGGCTGTATACGTTACATTAATGTGTTACGTCTCTCTTTGCTCATTATCTCATCATCTGCACTGTCATTGGTCATGTTGCACCTCCACACCTTCAATTTGCACTCTTTTGATTATCTGTATAAATGTAAATATCAATATATTTGCACCCTCAATATTCTTGAAAATAAAACTACAGTTTTTTGGTTCTCATTTAAATTTAATTCTTTACTCCACAATATTTTTTTTTGCTTTTGCTTTGCACTATTACTGCTATTTTGACTAGTTTTTTTAATAGTTACTTTTATTTTTTTTAGCTATTTTTATCTTGTACATTGTATTCCTTGCTCTATATTTACTGTTGCACCAACCCATCAGAACAAATTCCTCTTATTGTTTAAACTATATCTGGCAATAAATCTGTTTCTGATTCTGATTCTGATACTGTAGAGAACTATTAGTGGCAAAAATCCAAAACATTTGTTTCACAGTCTCATGAACTGGTTTCAATAAATTTGATTGAAAAAGTTTATTGGTTAGATTTCACTCTTCATGAAAAATCTTGAAGCACTCAGTGTGCAGTGGTACGTCACACTTCTTGCATCCATACACAGTGCAGTTGTGGCACCATCTGCATCTCTGGTAACGTTTTCCTGTGTTGACAGGCCAGTGGTGTTTCCCATCACCTCTTGTTGAATCCTGAGGTTTCGCAATTGCAGATCTTCTGCCTTGGCTAAGAGGTCACTTTCCATATCTCTTAAGGAGATCCAGGGACAAAACCCGCTGAAAGATCAGGAGGTCATAATCACTGCCAACAACATGTCTGCAGAACAGCCAACTACTTACTATTGCACTGTGAAATGACCGAGCCAGGATTCTTCACCTCCACTTCTTTGACCTTATGGCAGATCCATATCTTGACACATGAAGATCATGCAGATCATGCTGCCCATGTTTTGGTTGTATGTAAAGAAAAACAGAGGTTGTGGCACTTTGACAAAAGCTTTTTTCTCCTTGCTCCACCTGGATGCTTGACCCTCTGCATATTTTCTACAGCATTGGTTGCCATGGTTACAACACTGTTATCCTTCATCACACCAGTAACTTCTCCCCCTCTGTAAGAACTTCAGTGCTTCCACGAGGCATTTTCATGAAATCTTTCACACCTGTGAAATGAATGTCATGTAGACAGCACTGTCTCAGTGTGCCAAAGGACCCATAACCTTGTTTGGTCATTTCATCGATGAGGCTAAGTGAGGTGAAAAGGTTATCATGCACAAATGTGCATCCTGGAGGAACTTCTGCTTGTTCAGCCAGACCAAGGACTACACTTGGGCCTTGTCCTCAGCCAGTTTCAGGGAGATGTGTGTGGACTCCACAATAGAGCTACATGTGAAGCATGTACCCTGTGGGTAAAGCAAGGCTCCACAACTTGTACCAGAACCAGATTGGTTTGCCTCTAATAAACTGCTTGCAGCCATTCTTGCCATAATAGAGTATCATGTTTTCATCAATTGATAGCTGTTTTGTCTATGGTATCATCTTGTAGGAGTCATTCAGTGCACTGAAGATGGGCCGCACTTTGTAGAAAGGGTCATCTGTGGCCTTTGAGTTATCCACCAGATGAATTGAGGCCATTATCTCATTAAAGCGGTTCCTTCTCATAGCATTTGAGATGCTTCATTGTAGACATCAGGGTCATATGTCCAATACATGTGTCTCCGTGGCACAGAACTGTAGCCAGATGTGAGCAGAATCCCATAAAAAGTCAGCAACTCATCCATACTTATATGAAGTGCCTTCTCTTTGGTTTGCATTGAATAGATATTTGACATGTCAACAGTAAGCTCCCTCAGAGTAGGAGGACACATCAGCAGGAACATATCAACACGGTCAGGTTTAGTTTGTTTTATGCAATCTGCTGCAGTTGGACCACAGGTCACAAAATCTGGTATATTGGATGTTGCTGGTCGTCGTGATCTTTTAAAAACCCTGTCCCTATTTTGCTTATTTTGAAGGAGGGTTTTCTGTTTTTTATTGTGTTGCAAGGCTTCATTTTCATCTGGGCATCTCCTTTTACTGCATTGTGGGGTATCAGTATCCTCTGGGCACCTTCTTTTTCGGCTTGCTGCTGAGGGAGACTTACCAGCATCAAGGGACATTTTCAGTATTTTATGGCGTTTTGGGGTCTCATTTTCTTCAGAGCATCTTTTTTTTTTTTTGGCTGGACACTGTGGGTGACTCACCAAGTAGCAGCAATTTGTTTTCTCCAACACCAAATGCTGCAGGAGTAGGAGGTGAGGGAGCAGGGCAGTTGTGGGGGCAGGGGGGGTCTGGGGGTAGGTCTGGACCTTCTTCATCCTCCAGATAGGTCACCTCTGCTTCACTATTTAGCAGTCTAGCAGGCAAATGGCCGTTTTTGCCTTGGTACTGCCTATCTGAACAGGCACTATCACAGTCACTTTCAGATGCATCTTTCTCAACTGTTGGAATGACTGTGATGTAGCACACATCACTTTGGGGTTATTTTAGGTCTACAAGATCCAAAACCTCTGATAGTTTTAAGCTGTGTAGAAAAAAAACACAGGATAAATAGGATAAACACCCAAAACCTCTGAAACCTAGCATAACACTATGACTCAGCATTGTGCTAACGGCAACAAATGTTGCCATGCTTATGTTTGCTTTTCTTGTAATCACAAGATGATGCAGGCATATAATTCTCATTATATACCAGTAGTAGACCCTGTAAAGAATATATGTACAAAATATTTCAGTTATATCTGTTAATTAAGGTATTTTACTAACTTTCTCTTGTACCAGTTTGAGGCAGACATTTCTTTCCAGCGGTGCAGGCAGGAAGTAAAGAGGCCTAGTCATGTGACCATTCGCACTAGTCACATGACATTGGTATAATTTGGAGGAGACAACCTTTTTTCTAATTTAAAAACTTGCTTTAGCTTCCCAAAGCCAAAACAACACTTTTAGAAAGTAAAAATTTAACAAAAAATGAGCAGCAACAATTGTTGCCGGTGGGATTAAACGGGTTAAGATGTTCTTGGTGGTGGTGTATGGCAGTGATTAAAAGGGCAGGTGTATTTTGAAAATTAGAATGATTAAAATCACAGCTAGAATTACAGTCATGAGACATGTTCCTTTTGTTCAGCAGTCCAAGCCCAGCAGCAGGTGTAACAGAATGTGCAGTGGTACTATTGTGATAGGGACCAGAACCGGGGAGAACATCAGTCACTGTGGGATCAATCAGCATTAGGTCGAGGGAGGAGTGCATGATGACGAGACGGCCAGGTGGACAGTGCAGCAGTTGAACAGGTGGATGTTGTACACCAGGTTGTCAGACAGAAGCTGTACACCAGCTTTGCTCAGGTGGAGACCATCCACACTGAACGGAGCAAGAACACAT